CCAGATGGCCAGACCGTCCGGTCCAGACCTGGACCGTCCGGTCCAGAGGTGCAGACCGTCCGTTCCACGTAGAAATATGGACCGTCCGTTCTACGTTAAAAGCCAGACCGTCCGGTCCACGACCTAGACCGGACGGTCCGACTTTCGGGGAAAGTTTCCTTTTTCGCGTTTTAAGGGTTTTGGGCAATCCTAATTAATGTGAGAGCCGCCACAAACCCTAGAGTAAGAACCTCAGACATCCTAGATTCTAATGAGAGCTTAGAGAAGCTTGATTTCGAGTTCTAGAGATTGGAATATCGATTCCAAGTCAAGGACATCGGTTTTCTCTTCACAAATCCTAGCAGATACGTTCCAAAGCGTTGGAATTCATCCCGCCGGTGTGGATACGTGTAGAGGAGTTGTGCTTTCAACTCTTGGTGATTAAAACAGGCCCTGGATCGATTGATACTTCCAGATCTTGAAAGAACGAGGTAAGTATTCGAATCCCATGACGATATACACGATTGTTCGGGTTATTGCACAATTGGTTTTTGTGTGACGTTTGGCTAGGTTTAGATCTTTCCTTCCGCTGCATGAAACCTAGAAGCCAAACCTTAGATCGATGAGATCGCATGCTAGGAACCCGAAGGGAACCCAACAACGTGTCCACTCGATCCTGGATGTCTTGGTTCAACCCACCGATGAACCTAGCCATGGTAGCCTCGTCTTCCTCTTCCACATTAGCACGAGTCATAAGCATCTCCATATCCTTGAAGTAATCTTCCACGCTCTTGCTACCTTGTATAAGTCGGGATAATCGCTGATGAATGTCACGGTGGTAGGTGGTAGGCACGAACCTACGCCTCATGATCATCTTCAGCTCAGTCCAAGTGTCTATAGCATGCTCTCCATTTCTCCTCCGGGATATGCCAAGTTGGCTCCACCATGCCAATGCGTACTCGCTGAACTTTGCAGTGGCCAGCTTCAACTTCTTGTTCTCCGAATACCGATGGCATTCAAATACCATGTCAGTTTTCTGCTCCCACTGTAGGTAAGCTTCCGCATCACTCTTACCAAAGAATGACGGTATCTCCATCTTGATGTTGCTTAAATCATCATCCATGACCCTTTCCCGTGGACGATGAGCTCGTCGGGCGACTCTCGGTGCCACAAAGGGATCATCATCTATGTCTTCCACCTCCTCAACGTCATCATGCTCTTGGGCGATTGGTGCTCGTATTGGACGGGGTTGAGCTTGTCGTATGGGTGCAAGCTGGGCCTCCTATCTCTCAGCCTCAACTCGATCTAATCGCTCCTGCAAAGGTCGAATTTCATCACGCATCATCCTCCTGATCTCTTCCAACAAGCCTTGCATTGGTAACATCCCGGCTTCCTGCGGTAGGGGCTCTTCACGCCTATCATCACCTGCATTGGCCATTGCTCACTACACAATAACAAAACGTTAATCCAAAATAGAAAGAAGGGAGGGTCCAATGAAAAGAAGATGAGAGAACCTCACAACTCTCGGAAAGTGTTTACACTCAAGATATCACTCTCCTCACTAGTCTTCTTTGTAAGGCCTTGTTCGAACTAGAAATTTACTCTCAAGATCACGAGGGTGTTTTCGCAAATCGAAGCCTAATCCCTTGAAGAACAACTACTTGTACCGATAATTCACGAACTTCGGAGTCTGAATCACTACCAACGTGAGGATAGAGATGTTACACCACACAAACAATATTCCCAGAAAAAAATGATGGATCACTACCGAGAAAATTTTTCGGAAGAAAATATTTTCACTATAGTCACTCCACTCATTCCGTGACTCTAACAATCTGGTCTTTCACCTCGGAATTTTTTTTTTTTATATCGGGTTTTTTTACTCTTTTTTTTTTTGACCTTCTTCTTCTTCTTTCCTTTTTCTTTTTTTTCTGCAGAACTCTTTTTTTTTCCTTTTTTTTTCACTCTTACAAATCCTAGAAATTCAACAGACCAAAGAACCTTGGAAACAAGAAATCGAAATCTGACAGAATGAAAATCAACAACAGGATTATCGTCTCAACAACAAAACAAGGACTCGATCTACACGCATAAGCGAAATCGGGGTAGATAACTAGTTTATCAGAACGGGGCTCTGATACCAAAGATGATATGATCCCGGATCCGTTCCTAAACTAGAAGATAGGATGGAAGAATCCCAAGACCCCTAAGAACCGAATAACGCAAACCTGAATGAAATTTCGAGATCGAAATTCTCCAAACCCACGCTAGATCCGTCTCAGAAACCTCGAAGAATCACGAAGGACGCCACAAGCACTTGCGGTTAGTACTTGATAAGTCGAAGAACCCTATATGACACAAGGAGTTCGATTGCTAGTTCTCAAAGGAACTTCAGAGAAAACTCTCAAAAATGGTCTGAATTGTCTGCCTCCCTAATCCCAGACGGATTATAAGGCAAAAACCCTAACACACACACAAGGTCCAAAACGGCTGCGTTTTAGTCACTCGCAATAAAAATACAAGGATACAATTACAACACACAAGGCTCAAATGACGTGATCGGTCTTCGGGTCGGACCAAAACGTCCACCTTCCGTCTTCTGCCTTTTTGTCCTTCCTTTCGCCTCCATGCCTTAGCTCCTCCGTAAACATACAGATGAACATCGTCTGCATTCTTTTGATCCTCGCTCTTGTCATCGGTCCATCAATCTTTAGATCCTTCTCCACGATTGGCGCCCGCACAACTTCAGTTCCGTCGATGCCCATTTGGCTGCCCTCATCACCATGCCTTATGTTCGACATATGATATCGCGATACAAAAGGATCATCAGCCGGAATCATCACTGGAGTTCGTATGATCACAAACAAACTCTATTCGAGATAGGTAGTCATAGTGTCTTGCTAGAGACCGCCTATGACTTGTATATCCGGAATAGAGATTTCGGGCTATACTGCTATATCGAATGAGCCTACAGGGTCACACACGCAGGGAAGGACAAAATGCACGAGAAAACGATGGGAAAACCAAGACGGAAGGGTCTGGAATGGACGGACCAGAAGTCCGGAACGGACGGTCCACCGTGCCAGACCCGACGGTCCAAGAATACTCACACACTGTCCGTTCTAAGTGTTGGAACGGACGGTCCGTGTTGAATGCAGACCGTCTGTTCTGGCTTTTTGGGAAGG